ACTTACTCCTGGCTCCATGCCTCCCTTCCCTACTGAAAATGTCTAATTCTCCATCAGAACATCTTGTCTTAGAGCCATCTCTCTCAGGGAATGCCCACTCTGCGGAAGGGGGAGCACTGGGTGGCAAAAAAGCTTCAATGTGATGCAGAAATGATGCTTTTCTGGAGTATAGAATGGATCACATTCCAAAGGTTTCCACATAGCAGCATGGGGGCTTCACTTTCCATTCTGCATCTTCAGAGTCACCATGGAGCTGGCGGCAAGCATACGGTAGTGGGATAGCACCTTCCCTGCTTCCCTGACTCTCATACCCACAGAAAGAACATCAAAGATCAGTGCAGTGAGCAAACACAAGTGCTTTGAGAGGAATACCTGAGTGCTTGGCCTCTAGCCAGGACCTGGCACTTAGTAGATGCTCACCATTCATTTGATGAATGGACCCGCAAAGCATACTTCTGAGGCATAAAGTTTTTCACCATAAAATGGGAATATGGTTGAACTGCTGATCTCTAGGTTTCCTTTGAGCAGGAACACCCTCTACCACGAGGCCAGGACTCTCTTTATGCCATCTTGTTTTCCTTTCTTCATAGATTGTATCACTATCCTGCCTATTTTATTTATTTATTGTCTATTTTATGCCCTAGAATATAAGTTCCTCAAGACCAAACATATTTGGCTGCTATATTTACCACTGTATTTCCAGCAATAGACATATAACATTACATATAGTAATCATTAAACAAGTGTCTTTTGAATGAATGAATGAATTTTCAAAAGAGAAAACTAAGGCCCAGAGGGCTTTAGTAACTTCCCCAGGCAGCAAGAGGAAGAGTTTGGATCAGACAGCGGCACTTTGACTCAGAAGCCCATGCTCTTAGCAAATGTCTTATATAAATAGTTTTAATTAACTCAACAAATTTTTCAGGGAGCACACAATACAATCCAGGTATAAAAAAATGGAGATTTTTGGTGCTACTGCTGCAATTTGCTCGGCAAGAGATGGATGTATGGCTGATAGGGAAACTGATATGATTCTCAACAAAGCCTGCAAATTAATCATACTTAATGAATGTGACTAATGTGTTAAAGAAAGGAGCGATTAAAATATTAGCATGTCTGAACTTCGCCTCTCTGGCTAATTTGTTCTCCTCCCTCGGGTTACCATCTTTCAAAGAGGTAGGGGCACAGAATTCCGGAAACAAGTTTTATGGAACATGAGTGCATTTTAAATGGCTTAAATTGGGGACAGTCTGTGCAGTTCTCAAGCGGCTGCCAGTCTTCATGTCTCACTGCTCAAGCGAGGGACGTCTGCTGATGGGAGAGCCTGAAACTGTCACAACGGCTGGAACTGGAGATGGGAAGCCAGGAATTTCCCTAGGTAATGGAGTGGAAATGAGCGCAGACATGGGGCCCCTTCTGCAGAGTGGCGGCCGCCCTTCTGCGTAGACACAAGGTGAGCTGAATGTGTGGCAGGGGAGGCACTTTCCCTGTGGTGGATCACACATCCAGAATCATAGGCATAATTGCTACATTATAAATAAGAGGACAACCCACTTCTCCACTCCACCCCCTGCATAACCTTTTTCCCAGATGGAAGCATCAAAATGGTAAGAAATAGGAAGCATCCTAGAATACAATGCCTACTCTTGGAATTAGAAGATGCCACTGCTGGTTAGAATCCTACTACTTTTAGCAATGGATCAAGCTTTATCATAATATTCTGGACACCTGAGTGCCCTAGTCAGGGGCCTCAGTGGAGAGAGGTAATGTAACCGATGAAGTGGACACAGTGGGACAGAACCCAAACCAGCAAGCAAGTGCCTGCTCTGGCTAACAGCACTGAACACAGGCCTAACTGTGGTCACATCTTTCAAGTTTTGAAGAAAAAACAAATATGTGTGTGTGTGTCTGTGTAATTTCCTATTATACTATAACAAAGTTAGTGGCTTAAACCAACATAACTTACTATTTTATGATTCTGGGGGCCAGAAGTCTAAAACTGGTATGCAGGGCTGCATTTCTCCTGGAGATTCTAGAAAAGGATGTTTCCTTGCCTTTCCTAGCTTCTACCAACCACCTGCATTCATCAATTCCAGGCCTCCCTCTTCCCCTCATCTTGTCTCTCATAAGAGCGCTGTGATTACACTGGGCCCCCTGGACAACTCTGGATAGCCTTCTTATCTCAAGATCTTGAATCATATCCACAAAGTCTCTTTGCCATGTAAGGGAACATGTAACATTCTCAGGTTCCAGAGATTTGGGCATGGCTACCTGGGGAGGGGGTCGTGGCAGATATTAGTCTGTGTGTCAGTGTTTATGTGGATGACTCACAATCTGCAAACATTAGCAAAGAATTCTAAGGTTTATGGCACCATGTTTGCTCAATAGGTCTCTAGTGGGGACAGACAGGGTAGAGAATGAGTGTCCAGTCTATGAACCCTGATATCTGATTGAAACAAACTATCCAGTGGTTAAAACAAAAACTTTATGTTGTGCCTCCCATTGCAGTCATCCATCCACATACATTGCTTTTCAGATTTACTGGTTACTAAGAAGCTTACTAATTATTTATTTTGCTAGGCGTGTTGTTATTTTTCCCTTCTACTTCACAAAAATAACAGCAAACACTTATTAAGCTCTTGTTGTATACTAAACACTGTACTACGTATTTCATATGCATTATTTAATTTAATCTGCATAGCAATCTTGTTTTTGCCATTTTACAGTTGGGGAATCTGATGCTCAGCATTGTCCTAAGTCCCACAGCTAGTGAGGGGTATAGGTGGTATGTCAGCCAGGTTGTTTGCTGCCAGAGCCTTCAAGATGCAGTGTTTAAGGAAAGCTGAAGCATGAAAGGTAATACTGTAGTCTTTTCTGTTAAAAAAGCCAACAACTACCAAGTGGAAGTAAGATCGGCCTCTTTAAGTCGAAGTTCCAATATCTCTGCCACTCCTAGATGTTAGCATCCTTCCTTCCACCAGCCCAGACATATTCAGACACAGTTACACTTCTTCCTGCTACAATACTGGCTAGATCCCAGAACAAACAGGTTATTTTACTTATCAGTGATATGGCTTTGGGCAGCCCATTTGTCTTCTTTAAGTTTTAGTTTATTCATCTAGAAAATGTAGTTATTATGATGATGATGGATATTTACATAGCACTCACTTCTGTCAGGCAGAGTTCTGTGCATTTGACATCTGTTGAGCTATTTAATTTTTATAATAACTCTTTGAGGGTAGATACTATTATTTTGCAGTCTGAAGCACACACAAAGTTTATACAACCTGCCCTAGCATCTAGCCAGAGAGTAATAGAGCTAGGATTGAATCCAGAGAGCCCAGAAATAACAGTTTCTGTTCTGCTCGCCCTATTGGAAAGCTGTGAGGACCTTGTGAAAATTCATTTATTCATTCTTCATTTACTCTTATCATGCTCTAAGACCTGTTGGAAACTGAGTTATTTCATATAAAGCACTCAAACTGTACATGGCTTGTGGAGTTGTTGTGGAAGTGTCTGTTTTACTCTTCAGTTGTTGCTAGGGGCAAGCTCTGTGCTAGCTGTGTAACAAACACGGTTGGGGTTACTCTTGAGGAAGCAGTTCACAGTCTTAGACTACAACACAATTTTGGAGGCTACAAGGATGGCCAAGGCCTGGCCTTGAGAGAGTCAGAAGAAAGCGGTCTGTGTGTTGTGAACCTAGAGAGGAACAGTAGTGAGTCAGCAGGGATCAGAGGAATGAGGTGTTGATCCAGATGAGGTCTTCTTTCAGATAAAAGCAATGCCAGCAAACGCTTGCTTGCTGCTTCCTTGTAGGTGCTTTGCTTATGTCAGCACATTTACTCCCTTCAGCCACTTTGCAAGACAGGTACCAACAATACTGCCTCCACTTTATGTGTGAGGAAACTGAGGCACAGAGAGGTCAGGTAACTTGCCTAAGTCAGAGTGCATGTACAACAGAGTCCTGCTGAGAAACTTCAGTGGCCCGCATTCATTGCACAATTCTGCCAAATCGGTGTACTGCTTGTATTTGTATTTCCTTAATAGTCATATTAACTTTCTCTTTTTACCTAAAAGAATGAAAAAAAAAACTTCAGCTCACGAGAATATAGGGTATCTCACAAAAATATAGCCACCATGGATAAAAAGTAAATAGCATCAAATAAACAATATTACTAAATTTTCTCCGGACTCAGTTTTCTGCTGAAAACTCTGAAGTCAAGGCTTATTCTGAATTCAAGGCTAATTCAAGGGAGAGATTAGTCGGTGTGGAGATGAATTGAAATTATATTAGCACCAAAGTCAAACTTTCATATTGGTGTCATCACAAGCCATGTACAATTTGAGTACTTTTTACTGAAAGTAAAAAACGAGTAACTTCCTCACCATGTGACAGGAAGTGATCTCTTCCTGCACCCCTAATGTCTTGCCTTTAGAAACCCTGTTAAAAGCAGTCTGGCTCGGGCAAAAGAACTTTACAGAAACTGTTCAATGGCAAAATGCTGGTAATAATTGCTGTTTCTTCATAGGGACTTTAATTACAAGCAAAAGAATGCAGGAAAACACAAAATCCATTACATAGTAGACGCTTAATAAACTTAAATCATTATCATTATGAAGCTTTACATACAGATCCATGGTCATTTGTTGTTATAAGATGGTAAAGAATCATCACATAGAGGTTACTATATTCTGGGTCATCTGTATGTAAGGAAGAATTCCCCCCAGAAACTATTAGATTTTTCATTATTTTTAGGTCACTCTAGATGAAGTTTTTGGCTTAAAAAAATCGCAGACTCAGCCCACACCATGTTTCTCGGGGTCTCCATCTTCCCCCTTCCTGTGGACCAACTCAGGACAGTCACACAGTGGGTGGAATCCTGCACAGAAGGAAACGGCGCCAAGCCCCGCCCCTTCCGCGCCTTTCCATAGGTCCCGCCCCCCACGCACGCCTTTCCGGGCTCGCTCCGCCCCTCGGGGCTCCGCAGAGGCCCGCGCGCTGACGTCACAAGCCCCGCGCCGCCTCGAGTCTGCGACGCGGGCGGAAGGTCATCCCTGTAACCGGCTCAGCGCTTGGAGCAGCTGTCGCCATGTTGTCGGTCGCCGCCCGCTCGGGCCCGTTCGCGCCCGTCCTCTCGGCCACGTCCCGCGGGGTGGTGGGCGCGCTGCGGCCCTTGGTACAGGCCTCGCTGCCCGCCACCCCGGAGCCGCTGGTGCTGGACGTGAAGCGACCTTTCCTGTGCCGGGAGTCACTGAGTGGCCAGGCCGTGGGACGGCCTCTGGTCGCCTCCGTGAGCCTCAATGGTGAGCCGGGGAGAGGGGAACCCCTTTTCTCGTTCCCTCCGGCCTAGACCCGGGGAGCAGCTGAGGAGGGCGGTCCTGTTTGGGAGGATCAGTTTCTGGACCGGGCGACCTTGAGCAGCGCTTCACCTCCGCGGGCCTCCCCTGCTGGGGACGCGCTGTACGGGGCGCTCTAGAGTGACGCTGCCGTACCGGCGTCCTGGCTTGTTAAAGAGATCTCTGCCTTGGCGCCAGTGTGGGCTCCCATTTGCAGGCCAAACTGTACCTCGTCGTGCATAAAGTTCAAGATTGAGGTGTCTGACTCCTCACAGCAGAGTCTGACACGTAGTGTTGCTTACAGGTAGTTTGACCTTGGGCAGGTTTGTAAACATTTTTCTCATCTGCAAAATAGATTTCTGCTTCTGCGAGTTTGGTAGGGTTGTCATGAGGCTTCCACGAAAAAGTTTTATAATAAATGTTCAAAAAGTAGGAACTGTTACTAGGATTTGGGACCTTACGCTCTTCCACACTACCGGTTTCTTTAGTCTTTCCCCTTCATCAATTCCCCCAAACAGTAACACACAACTTAAGGTCACGTAAAGTGTAGAAGGTCAGCAGTGTTTTCAGGCACTTGACCAAAGGCCTTTTACGACATAGTCTAATTCTCCAGAGGAGGCAGAGGTTGATGAGAAACAGACTGCAAGAGTTAAAAAATCGACCTGCACAAGGATACATGGTGTGGATGGGTATGACAGACTCAACGTGGGAGCCATTAGCTCACCCCAGGAGTTTATGTCACATCCTCTCCCAAAGATGTCATTTTATCTTCTGTGCTGTGCTTTATATCTCATTGTATTTTCTGAGTTGGAGAGTGTGAAGTGACACTTATTAAAAAACTTGGGAAACTTCTGGCATCTCTTGAAATAATGGAATCTGGCAGCACTGGGCCCTTGTCTACTCAAGCGTGAAGTCTGCAGTGCTGTGTATTTGTTGCTCCCATAATTGTTTGGGTTAGACACAGTCCTCATCAGGTTACTTGTTATTTTGTGTTACCTGCTTGGCTCCATTGGCATTTGAATTCGTGACCCTTCTGTATACAGGACTCAAGTTGGCCCCTTTGGACAACTTCTTATTCTGCATTTTTTCTTTTTTTTTTTTTTTCTGAGATGAGGTCTCACTATGTTTCCCAGGCTAGTCTTGAACTCAAGGGATCTTCCCACTTGAGCCTCTGGGCAGCTGAGACAGCAGGCTTTTGTCACCGGGCCCAGCTTGTCTGCACTTCATTTATTTATTTATTTATTTTTGTCTTTTTGAGACAGAGTCTCGCTATGCAGTTCAGGCTGGCCTTGAGCTCATTTTGTAGCCCAGGTTGGTCTCGAATGCACAACGATCTTCCTGCCTCAGCCTCCCAAGTGCTAGGATTATAGGCGTGCCCCACGCCCGGCTTTGTCTGCACTCTAAAAGATCCTCCCACTGTTTTCTTACCATCCTTCCAGTCTCAATTTAGGATCAGGTCAATAAAATTTTATATTTGTTCATTCTTTTATGTCTTTATACCATGGAACATTTTCCACTTTGTATTGTGTTTATTGGGTTATCCTCTGACCTTGGGCTTAAGGGCATAGAAGTATGTCCTTCATTTTACTATGTCCCACCACCTCAGATTTTATAGTTGGTCCAAAATATTTGTGAATGAATGATGAGGAGCATGAGTGGGTTTTGGAGTACTTACTCCATCCCATGCCTATTTTGGGACCTGGAGAGAGAAAAAAGAAAGAAATTTTAGCAAAGGTAAAAAGCATCTGTAGAATTTATCACATGACTAAAGGATTTCTTACAAAAAAAACTGCCTACCTTATAGAGATTTTTTTCTACAATTAGGCGAATCCTAAAACAACAACAACAAAAAAAGGACAAAAATCTGAATCATGTCTTCAGCTTCACCTTAAAATCTGTTCTGATGGTATAGTTAGTGACAGTATAGAAAAGTTTGGAACAGAAGATCTTTGAGTTGGAAAGGAAGTTTGCATTATGGTAGCATCTTTTATGCAGATTTTCAAGGCATATCGGAGTTTAGCTTAAAATGTTTTAAAAAATGTTAAAAATGATTCAGATTATCTCTTTCTAGGTTCTAGGTTGTATCTTAAGTACATGATCTTGCCTTAGGTTAGAACTAATCTAGCATCTTTGCTTCTAAATCTCAAACTTTATGTACCTTATCTCAGCTTATGTAAATTACTTAATGGTTTTGGCAACATGGCAATTTAATCTCCTAAAGCAGCGGTGGTGGGGGCTGGGGATTTAGCTCAGTGGCAAAGCGCCTGCCTAGCAAGTGCAAGGTCGTGAGTTCGGTTCCCGGTACCGGAGAAAAACTAAAATGAAGACCAGCCTGAACTACATAACAAAACCCTGTCTCAAGAAGACAAAAAAAAAAAAAAAAAAAAAAAAAAATAAAGCAGCGGTGGTGAACTTGTGGCACATGCGCCACAGTGGGGTGTTTATATTATTGAAAGCTCTAAAAGGTGCGCCATCGCTGTCCTGAAGGGTTCTTGATGATCTATCCCAATAAAATGTGTGTTACCTGTGAGAGAGGGATAGATACCAAAGATCTCAGTGAGCGTGACATTCATTCTATTTCTGTTTTTTTTTTTTTTTTTGTACCGGGAATCGAACTCGGGATCTTGTGCTTGCCAGAGAGGCACTTGTGCTGCTGAGCTATATCCCCGGCATTGACATTCATTCTGTTTAGTGTTCTTATCCATTAGCTCGTGTACTGTTAATATTCCAAAAGTAAACAACTTATAATGTTCTCTTTTCTAAAAAGGAAGCTGTAGAGTGTTTTATAAAACAGATAAATCATTCACAAAGCGATTTGCATGAAACATACTCAAAAGTGATAATAAATTTGGGGGTTTTTTGGTCAGACATTTATAAATAAGAGGATATAACTTGTTTTTAAACAAATTACTCGCTCCGCAAGTACTGTGTAGGCAGTAACTACTTTAGTTAACCCTCATTTGACCCCAACATTTGGCCCATTTTATAAACTACTGTGAAAATGTCCCACTTGATGGACTCACAAAAAGAGTGAAAATGAAAGATGACTTTACTCTGATAGAAGCAATATGTGACCTTTTTCCCCTCCCTTGCTAAGTTGAAATAATTGTTCCTTGTAGATTTTATGTTGAGAGCTGCTCTGTTCTATTATGGATGTCCTTTTCTGCCCATAAGTGATTTTACTTGAAGATAAAGTGATATTAATTGATGCCCTAAAGTCTAAAATAGAAATCCTTAAATTTTAGGCTACTAAACATATATTAAACTACCACAGCATATTTTTTTTTTCTTCCGGTACCAGGAATCGAACTCGCGACCTTGCGCTTGCCAGGCAGGCGCTTTGCCACTGAGCTAAATCCCCAGCCTCTGACCACAGCATATTCTTTTCATTTAATATTTTGTGAATTTTTTGTTTATTTTAAAGAGAGGAAAAAAACAATAAAAATGATACAGAATTTATTTTTTGCAGTTCTTTCAGAGGTCACATCATTAGGAATATGAGACTAGACATTTGCCTTAAGATGATCACATAGCTTGCCAGGTATAATAGATGAGATTTGGGAGTCTCTTCTTAGAGAATATTAGAAGTGCTTAGCACGATTGTGTAGTAGGCTTTAGCAGTTGTGGAAACTGAAGTATTGCTATTTATTGTGCTATTTAACTTTAATTTGGTGCACTGAGATGTTAGGAATTGTTAATTAGCTGTGTGCAACCAGAAGAAGTTCAAATTATAAGTATTACCTTATAATGTGAGAGGTAGTAGTTAACTTCATTTCATTTTTAGTATCTTGTATGCTAGCACTGCCAGTTTGAATATTTCTGAGACTAGCATGTTTTGCATTTTTAGAATTTGATTTTTTTGCCTGTGAATCTATTAAGTCTGTTTCCTGATATATGCTCCTGTCAGGGATCTCATCTAATTGTTTTCTAACTTTCTGTTTGTCTTGCAGTCCCTGCATCTGTTCGTTACTCCCATACAGATGTCAGAGTGCCCGACTTCTCCGACTATCGTCGCACTGAAGTTTTAGATAGCACAAAGTCTTCAAAAGAGAGCAGTGAGGCTAGAAAAGGCTTCTCATATTTGGTAACTGCAGCAACTACTGTAGGCGTCGCGTATGCTGCCAAGAATGTCGTCACCCAGTTTGTTTCCAGCATGAGTGCTTCTGCTGATGTATTGGCCATGTCGAAAATTGAAATCAAGTTGTCCGATATTCCAGAAGGCAAGAACATAACTTTCAAGTGGAGAGGCAAACCCCTGTTTGTGCGTCACAGAACCCAGAAGGAAATTGAGCAAGAAGCTGCAGTTGAAGTGTCCCAGTTGAGGGACCCACAGCATGATTTAGATCGAGTAAAGAAACCTGAATGGGTTATCCTGATAGGTGTTTGCACTCACCTTGGTTGTGTACCCATTGCAAATGCAGGAGATTTTGGTGGTTATTACTGCCCTTGCCATGGGTCACATTATGATGCCTCTGGCAGGATTAGAAAGGGGCCTGCGCCTCTCAACCTTGAAGTTCCCACGTATGAGTTCACCAGTGATGATTTAGTGATCGTTGGTTAGAGACTTGGATTCAAGTCCTAGGCTTCTTTTAGTCTTCCTGTCTCCTCAGAAGACTTAAGAGCAAGCTGTCTGTACTTCAAGTTGGTTAATTTGAAATACTTAAAAATTGTTAATAATGTATTTGGAAACATTAATGTGAAGTGAATTGAATTTAATGTTGACTACTTTCAAGTATTCACTTAAAGCCATTGCTAAACATTGTTAAACTCAGTCATAGACTTGAAAGTTACAATGTCTTTGATAACTTAATACTAATTAAAAATTACAGACTGGTGTAAGAGATATTTGTGAAATCTATAATTGACTTTCTCATTTACTTTTTTGTCCAAATATTTGTTTCCTGCTATACGTCATGGCATAGATTCTACAGAGGTTCTTGTTAGGTAAAATTAGCTGGTCATCTCCAGTGTGTGCTTCTCCTTTTTTTTCCGCAGGTCTCAGTAAGTGTCCTGTGTTCTCCTGAACTATAATCTGTGTGATAATGAAATCTATGAGAAAGAGGTGTTAACACCTCTGAGGGTTTTCCTCCAGGTGTGGTTAGCTATTTTTCTTTTTTGTTTTTTGCCTGTGTGAAAGGCTATGAAGTTTTTTTGTCCCCTTTGAGAGTTAGTTAGTATAGTACTTAGATAATATTTGAGAGAAGCTTTCCAAAATGAGAGTGCTTTTCTGTTACTTCCTTCATTTGGCTTGGAGGGTATTCATGTCCCCAATACTCCTATGTCTACCATATCAAGAGGCAGAAAGGAGCATCTGAGACTTAATACTATCTTTTTGTGACAAATGACCATGCTGGTTTTGTCTCTGGTGATTACATTTTGAGGGGTTTCTTCCAGTTAGGTTTGTAGCACTCGTTACTTCACTGTGAGTAGGTAGGATTGGGCCCAAGGAGAGCATATGAGCATTAACATCTTATTCCTTCTGCCTCCTGTCCCGATCTGGCCTCAGACAGTTAACACAGGTGAGACAGGACTGAGGTGTGATCCTCCCCCTGGAACAAGGATTGGGCTTTGCCTTTCGTTAAACATCACAGCTACTTTTTGATAGGTTTGTCTGGCTTGGGCTGTTGGGAGGTTGGTCAGTATTGTATGCACTGTATAGAATCTACCTTGTGATCACATACGCACTTGTAAAATAGCAAATGAGATTAAGTGGTGAGGGCTGCCCAGAGGGAGCTTACTGTCAAGGATTCCATTATTTAATGTTAGTGGCTGGGTGCTTGTATAAAAAAAAATACTAAAGTTTCTGTTAACCATTCTAGAATTGATGGGATATGAAAGTACTATTTTTATATTCTGAGACTCCACTTAATGGGTTTTGTTCTGGTATTGGGTGATGGCAGAGCAGGGATGTAAAATGTTTAGTTGTGAGAGAGACAACCATACACTAAAAATTGAGTTGCCAAAAATGTCAGCAGCGCTCCTTCCTTGCAGAGTAATGCTGATAACCATCCCAGGCTCCTGCCTCTAATCTTCATGTGATACCTGGAAGTAATCTCAATATTTTCATTTTGAAGTGCCAAACATTACTGTATTAGAATCTACATGGTGATTGAAGTTTAAAGTGGAAAGTTCACAGGCCTCTTAAATGTTGCATCACAGGTACTTTGAGCTGAAATTGCGTCTTGTGGGCTGTGTATGTCTAATGATGTTTTGAGGTTTATGATGGCGTACAGTTAAATCCTAGTAATACTTAGTTTTAAATGAAGGCTTTGTTCCACAAATGGCAAGACAATTCACATCACTTGATATTTTCCTAAGGGGATAAAACAGACGGATGTTAGCTTTTTTGCTTATAGAACCAAAACTCTAAATATTAGGGAGAAATGACTTGAAATAGATGAAATCTAACCAGTTGGCATCCTGACCATTAAGAGGTACACCTTTTTGCTGGGAGTCATTTTTGGGGCAGTATTGAGTCCCAACCCTTTTTATTATGCTTTTAGAAACTATGTTCCGTAAAATGTACTTTTGTAAATTTTGTATTTAATAGACATAAATATCTTTGCAACATCTTTGACTCCATCTGAAAGTATAAAGGGAACTTGTCGGTGTTTATGACTTGGGATCAAAATGCTTTTAGCAAACACACACCCATTTTTCTAAACAGTGAGAATATGCATCTGATAATTAGAAGTCATTCTCCATTTTCCTAGTACTAAATCTCACTTTCTGTATTTTCATGTATTTGAATTTTGTTGCATTTTATGCATTAGCCCCAAATAAAAGTCCGTATTTTTTAGGATGAAAAATATCTTTGCCATCTGCTTTACATTCACATTTTATTATTACTTATTTGATAATGACTCCCCTATACCACTTCCCAGAGTTTCATATTTATATTCAACTGTACACTGTAGATGTCTATTTGTAGATGTCCTATAAATACTTTAAGGAAAAGGAATTCTCTGCCGTAAACCAGTTTCTTCATCACGAGTGGTGGCCTCTTTTTCCATTACCTCCTCTCCCTGAGCCCAAATCATTCCCTAAATCCAGCTAATTTTAGTCACCTCAGTGTAACAGGTCTTTTTACTGTCTCTGTTGTCTGTATGATTAATAAAGGCTAACTTTGCATAGTGAAACCTAGTCAGAGTTACATATGTAATCTCATTTAATTCTCAGGAAATCTTATCATGTAGTAATTGCTGTCACTAGTTTATAGATAAACTGAAGCACAGGAGTATCTTGTCTACAATCAGCCAAAACTTGCTTTATTTTGGGAAGTCCTGAGTCCAGAGCCTATGGGTCTGTTTGCTGTGCTTTACTAGGAACATTTAATATTGAGGTCATGTCAGTTTTTGCCTGGACTACTGCAGTAAGATTCGAAACATTTCTTTTAATCCTGTCTCTTTAAAATTCATCCTCCCACATAGCTACTAAGTAGATTAGGAATAAAGGATTGGTTCTGGGTTCCAGTCCTCTGCCATTTCTTAGATGTGTGACCATATGTAAATTACCTAATCTCTGCTTCACTTCCCACATCTGAAAAATTATCATCTCTCAAAGTTATATTAGAAATTAATGCACTACATATGTCAAAGGATGACATTAAAACTTTAACATGGGGACTCAACAGGGTCCTCCTTACCTGTGTCCCATCAGTAAATCTTTTGCTTCAGTAACAACTTTTACAATGTTTCTCATCCTTTCTGCCTCATTACCTTTCCTTTCCATTAGGTAAGTTGTTCTCCACTGACAGAAGGACAACCCTGTAAGTTACATTCACTGGTCCTGCAGGTTTTCCTCAAATAGCCATAATGTATTCATTTGGCTATTTGTACCATGGTGCCCTCTTGCTTGGTTTGTCTCCCCATACAGACTGAGGGACTGTACCATGGCAGGTACTCAACCACTGGATGCTGAATGGAGAGGAAAAAAAGTGAATTTTTGAGTGGCATTAGTTGAAGGACATTTTCTAGGGAATATTTTGTGTATACCAGCTCTAACTTCTCAAAAGCCAGAACAATCCAGTAGTGTCTGTGTCTTCTCTTTCTAGGAGTATGAGTGAGAGGAGTGGTGTTACAGGATTTAAATTTAGATCATCATCCCAAAAGAAAAATGTAATAACAAATTCAGAAATCTTTAAAAACCAGACTATTTTACTTTAGTTATTTTTATTTGCTTCATAATTAACATTCTTCTGCCTGTGTAAAATGTCATTGTCAAAATGTTCATCCTTTAGTGTTTCATTTATAAAATTTAAACGCAGTGAACTTTATTACGTCTATCATTTTATGTCTTTATTTTCTTTCTTGGGGCTTAAGAGAGAAATGTTTTGATGAAAGAGAAAACAATACCACACAAATTAATTGATCGGTTTTCTGAGGTAGCAAGCATGGAGGATTATCTTCTCTTTCAATACTCAGTACTATTTATTAGAGGATAAAGATGTTTTCAGCACAATACTGCCAAGAATATGAGGTTAAGATGGTTTCTAGTCCAGATACTTAAAGCAGAACTACATATACCACAAAAAAGGTATTCAAGGGCTTGTTTCTGTGAATGTGTATTATAAAATAGATTATTGTAGACCTGAATTCTCTGGTCTGCAGCACAAGATTAAAATTAATTTTGTGAAGGGCTTCAGGAGCGTCTTGATAATAACTTCTCTATAATGATCAATAGAAGACTGGCCTATCAGTGAACCTAAAATCGCAAATTCTATGAACTATATGTTTGTACAGCTATTATGCTAATCTTGGGTCAGTTTGTGTGCAAAAGCATACAGTCATTGGCCTTTGAAATCCTTGTCTGAATATTTGCAAAGGGTAAAAATTGAAAGTGTGTAATAGATTTGTCATACATTTTTAAGAGGGTAAACAAAACCTTGGTTCCTTAATTGAAGTGAGAAGAAAGCGCATTTAACAGAATTGTCCCTTCTAGGGTGAATATTTGAACTCTGCCTTTTTTTTTTTTGTACCGGGAATCAAACTCATGACCTCAGGCTTGACAGGCAAGTGCTTATGCCACTGAGCTACTCTGGCCCAGACTGTGCTATTTTCTGCATCTGCACATGGCTAAAATTTCAACCTATGCCTCTCCATAAGAGAGGGGCTTTCTTAGTTCTCTGCCTGACCGTGGCTCCTGTTTGGCCATTTTGGGAGATGGCATTCTGAAGGGCCCTTGTGGTCTCAGTACGTGAAAATCATTTTAGGGACTACATTCCCCTTAGATGATTTCCTGTTAGGCCTTTTCAGATATGAATCTCAAATGCAACAGTGCATATTAAAAGCACGTAAACTGTAAAGCAAGATTTAGTGAGTTATACTACCAGGGCAATAGATGGCATTTAAAATGTGATTAGATATGCAGAAAGGCAATTTAGGTGGAGGTAGGTCCCTACCCAAACAGATTCATAAATTAAAGATGGGTATGAATTCTGTATTCTCATGCATTGGTCCCTGAAAGTTCAGATTTGCATGTGTACTAGGTTTTGATGTTAATGGAGAGCAAAACAACTCATCCATAGTAATCATTCACATTAAATTCCCTCCCCTTCCATTTATATGGGAAAGATTCACATGACTCCAAAACTGGTTCTTTGAAAAGAACAAGAAAATAAAGCTTTTATAAACTTGCTTAGATTTCAGATGAAAAAGCCGGTCATCACTAGTTGGTGAAAGAGATTAAAGAGATATAATAGTAATAAAAGAGTGCAACTTTAGCAGTAAGGTTATAAGGTTTAAGGGTTACAGATGACTTCTTAGCAAAATACAAAATGCTGAAATTGACCCAAATAGTAGAAACTTTGAATATACCATTTAACATAGACTACAAAGTGTAGGAAGTTAGCATGATTGGATGGCTTGTATCTTTAGTTCTGCATGACTTTAAAAAAAACTACAATGCTCTTAAAACTTTAAATTATTCTCAGCCAGAGCTTCTCCAGTCTTACCATGCACACAACACATCTGGAGCTTTTGTTAATGTGTATTTTCATTCTGTAGGCCTACTTTAGGGCCTGAGATTATGCATTTCTAACAGTTTCCTAGGTGATGAACAATACTTAGAATTAGCAAAATTCTACACCATAAGGGAGGATGATAAGCAGAGGGGGGAATGGAAACTCAACAGGTATGAATTCACTGTAAATTTAATATTAGAACATGGTATTAAATATTATACAGAAACAACACATCTGTCTGATTTACTGAATGAAAATTTCTAAATAAAATTGATAAATCTAAAAGTGTAGCAAAAGAATAATACACCTTGATCAAGTAAATATAAGAATACCAGGTGGTTTGGCATTAAAACTGTTTACTAAACCAATAAGAATTAAGTGTGGAAAAAATCATTGCTAATATAAATCTAAATAAAATAGGAATATCTTTAAATATGAAAAGCCACATGTTAAAATCCAGTTACAAATATTCTTAGTTGTGAAACACAAAGATTGGGAATAGCTACTGATGCCCACTAGCATTAATATTAACATTATTTTGTAAATTCTACAAGATTTGGAAACTACAAGAAAACTCTAGAGAAAAAGAAAACTTTTGGGGTGATAATACAGCATTTAATCATGGTAGAGGTAGAGTTTTAAGAGGTGGTTTGGTTATGAGGGCTGTGGAATGGATTAGTGCTGTTGTCACAGAGTGTGTTAGTTATTGTGGGAGTGTGCTCCTCAAAAAGGACAAGTTTGGCCCACACTTTTTTCTCTCCCTTTTCCTCCTGCTCACTTGCTGTTACTGTATGTTAAAAGGCAATGGGAAGAATCTTGCCAGATGCCATCACCGTGATCTTGGACTTTCAGCCTACTGGATCGTGAGGCAAATAAACTATTTTTTTCAGTTTACTCAGCTTGTATTGTTACAGCAGTAGAAAATTGACTTAGAACAATATGTAAAGTACTCTTGAGTAGTGATAGTGTTTTTGTTTGAGTCAGTATCCTCCATATTGAACAAAGCCTGAACATCAAAAGTGCTAAATAAGCATTTGTTGAATGAACATAACCAAAAGCCCCATAAAACACGGACATATTTAACAACATACAAGACAAGTGCAAAAGTTTAAATCAAGATCTAAAATGGAAAGCATGGCCTTAAATAGGATTACTTATTTTCATTGAAGTCTTCTGCTCAAATTAACATACACATTTAAGGAACTTCCAGTTAGACTTTCTACAGCATTTTTAAGCTATTCTTTTACTTCATGTAGGATAAATGATTACCAAGTTTACATAGAAAAATTAATGTCCAGGAAGAGCCAAGAACATTATGAAAAACAATAATGAAGATTGCTTCAGATATGACAACCTAAAAAAATCATTGTAGTCAAGGTAATATGGGAACAGCAGGCTGTGAGAAAAATGAACTATAAAGAATTAGACCTCAGGGTATATGGTAATTAAGTACAAGAAAAACAATAGGGGAGAGAATAGTTTATTCAATAAATGGTGCTGGCAAAGCACCATCCGGGTGGAAGAAAACAGAGTTGGACTGTCACTTTCATATGCTTAAAAATAAATGCTAGGGATGTTAGGTTCATGTAGAATATTTAAAGAAACTTTTGGGAGGATGGGTGTGGTTGGTGGCTTATGCCTGAAAACCTAGCAGTTGGGAGGCTGATGCATCAGGATCATTATAAATTTGAGGCCAGCCTGGGCTAAATAAGCAAGTTTAAGGCCAGCCTGAACTACATAGTGGACCTACCTAAAAAAACAAAAAACAAAAAACAAAAACCAAGAAACTTAAAAAAAAAAAAAAAAAGAAAAGAAACTTGGGAGTTGTATACATAGTTGAAGGGTGGAGAAGACCTTAATCATGATGGAATATTTAAAATTTAGAGCAGAAAAGACAGAACTGATTATTTTTTAAAGTCTTGAATTACAAATGATATTAACCACATTAAATGACCATAGATTTGTAAAAAATGAAAAAGCTAGTGGAAATAGAATAGTTAATATTTATATAAAGAGAAGAAAAGGACAAAACCCAGACAAGAAGCAGGAAAAATGTATAAACAAATACATTTATTAGAAAATGTGTATCTGAGTGGCTAATAGATGAGAAAGTATGAAATCTTGTAACTGTTAGTGTACACAATGGCAATGAGATATCACTTTATATCAGAGGGGAGA